CGTGTGTGGCACAGGGCTCACACCGGTGACTTTATGCCATGCTTGATGTGATGCCTGTCACCCAGACGTGACATTGTGGCTTCTCTCTGCTGGGGTGAGACCTCTTCAGCCTCCTCCTGGGGCTGAGCAGTGCTCTCCGGGCTTGGGGTGCCCTTCCTGGCTCTGGAGTGCCTCCAATGTGGGCACTGAGCAGGAGGATGTGGAGCTGAAGGAGGTGCTTTTGGGAGGGCACCACCAGCCTGCAGGTGAGCAGGATTTAGGGGTGTGTGGGGTGCAGTGCCAATGCCATGGCTTTGGAGGTCAAGGGATGCTCGCAAAGGGGCAGCAGGAGGGTGCCTGGGAGTGTTGGATGCATAGGACCAGGGGACCCAGAGCCTGGTGCAGTGCAGCCACCCATGCAGATGTTTCCTCTGTCCAGAGCCAGGCTTCCCTGGCGCTGGGGAATGAGGTGTGAGCAGGAGCAGGGCTCTGGCATGGGGACATGGGCTGGGCTGGGTACAGGAGGGGCGGTGGGGCAGGGCCTGGGGCTGTGTGCCCACTGACCCCTGCCTGTGGGGCTGGCAAGAAAGCAGAGCTGCCTGCCTGGCTCTGGCTGCAGCCTGTCCCTGTGCCCCCCTCCATGGGGATCTGCGATTTTGCCCCGTACGCAGCAGGGAGTTGACATGCACAGACTGAGCCAGAGCAGGGCCGTGAGCCCCACTGTCCCCCTGTGCCTGTCACTGGGGCAGCAGCATCAGTCCAGAGTGTGATGTGCGGGAGCCCAGCAAGGGAGAGCAGCACCTAGAGCAGCACTGGAGCCTGTCCTGGCCAAACGCCTGCTGGACCCCAACGCCTGCCATGGCTCAGGTTCCCTGTGGGCCAGTGAGCAGCCTGGGATGCTGCTGCAGCCGCAGGGCCCTTCATTGCTTGCGAAAAACAAAGTGCTTCTCTCTCATTCAGTGTCTGTGTCTTGCATGGGGGGTGGCTTTGGCCTTGCAGTGGTAGGGACAGTAACTGGGGAGGGGGGGCCTTGCAGTTGTATGGACATTATCTGTGGAGGGGGTGGGGCAGACAGGCTATTTGTAACTCCCTCAAGAGCTGCATCCTGCTCCAGGAGATGGGGTGGGCACAGGTCTAGGTGCCCAAGCAGCAGAAGCTCCTTTTCTTTGGTTTTACTGTTCCTGCCGGAGGGAACATAAGGCTGAGCCATGCAGAGACAGTGGCACTGGAGTGGCCCAGAGTCACTTGTGCTCGGCATGGGAAGGGTTCCTGCCTCCCAGTGTGGAGGTGGCACAAGCAGGAGCGGGGTGAGCTGCAGCCCCACCATGTCCATGGGCACCATCACTGCCCTGGCCTCTCCGCCCTTCCCTTTCCCAAAGCAGTTGGTGGGGAGTAGGCTGCAGTGCCCATGCCTGGGGATGATGTGGGGCTGCCACAGCCCTGCTGTTGGGGTGTGCGACCCAGTGTCCTTCTTGCAGGATCCAAGGTGCTGGTGTCTCGCCCTGCTTGG